CTGGCATTCTTTGGCAGAGAGGGCTTGTGCCAATAGTTGGGGTGCTGTAAATCTTTGCCAGCAAAGGCTCCCGCTTCAGCACTTCCCTCCCTGGTTGTGTGGGAGGGAAGTGCTCCTCTCTGGATCTTGTCTCCAGCAGCTGGCATCCTCCTCTGCTCAGCAAGCTCCTGGCATTGCCAGCCAGCAGTGTCTTGGTCACCATGGAGCTGGTCCAAGGGATTGGACAGAAGTCTTTAAGGAGAGAGGGGTGGTGTAAGGTGGCCCTGGACTCAGCCACACACCACTGTAGGGCAGGAGCTAGGAAGGAATGGTGTGGGGGCACCCGCTCTGCTCTGCCATGCCACACTGTCCCAGGGCCAGGGGGGCAGGCAGAGGAGTGACCCTGGGCACGTGCCTGTCGTGGTTCGTGGTCTGGGTGTAGTCACGTGTTCCACGAAAGGCACGGGAGGGGCACCAAAATGGAGCCAAAGTTCTCTGCAAAGACAAGGCCAAGCACCAGCCAGCCTTGTCCGTACAGCATCCCAAAACCCATAGGAAACATGTGAGGTGGTGGCTCAGGAACCAAGCGGGGTCTGGATGAGTCTAGGGACACCACCATCCTGGTTGGAGCGGCGTGAGTCCTCCTCCCCACGGGGTCTGCCCTGCGCCTCAGAGCAAAACCTGAGAGAGAAGTGAGAGCCCCTGACAGCGACGACATTGGATTCTGCTCTGTTCTGTTTACAGTTTAGTATTTAAGGTTTTATAAATGTAAATATATTTTGTATATTTTTCTATGAGAAGCACTTCATAGGGGAAAGCACTTATGACGAGGCTTTTTAAACAGTGGTATTATCCTAATTTAAGAGAATCTCTTTTTAATGATTTTTTTATTTTCATAGGACGGTTCTAGGAAATACCTGGCTGGACACAGTCTGAGCCTTTCTCCAGAGGGGGGGTTGCTTTAGTTTTGTTTTCTACTCTTGTTCTGCCTTTTTGACTTCAGTAACTGTCTCCAGGAGGGTTGGCTGGACCTTAAACTGTACTTGCCTGTAAGGATGCGGGCAGGAGGGAGAGCTGCCCAGCGTGGGAGGAGTTTGGCTCAGTAGGAGGACAGTCTGTGCCCCGGGCAGGAGGCGACTCCGCCTTGCTGTGCACTAGCGGAGGGTTTAAAAAAAAAAAAAAAGCGAGACCGAATGAGAGACCTGACCCTCGATGCCTCTTTTCTGGGATGAAAGAGGCCGGTCTAGGGCACGCGCCTCCTCCTTCAGTCTCTCCCTCAAAGACAGATGGGTTTTTCTGCAGAGAGGGGAAAGCAGAGAGTGCTCTCGCTTTCCTGAGCTGTCCCTGTGGGGTAGGTCAGCGGCCGTTCCAGGAGCCGGTGGGTCCGAGGGCAGTTGGCGGGGAAGGGACCAGGAACAGCTGCTGACTCCCCAGGTCTCTCAGAGGGGCACCCTGAATCTGCACCTCTCGGGTCTTGAGAATTCTTCCTCTGCCCTGAGGAGGAAAAACAGCGCTTGGAGGGTCGTGACCTGCCGGTTTCCTTTCGTTATTGCACTGTGTGAGGATAATTTGGTGGTAACTGTTGAAAGCAAAGTCACATTGACGCTGCATTTGTTACTGAGATGATTTGATGCACTGACAGTTTGGGAACGCACATACCTTGAGGAGCCCGGAGAGTGCCCGCCCTGGGGATCTGGGCCCCGTGGCCCCGGGCATGGCTGCTCTCGGCCCTTTTCTTTCCCTGTTTCTGACGCAGGGTGAGGGCTCAGCCCTCCTTGTGGCGAAGCCCATGAATTTATCCCAGAGCTCAGCTCCACCGCGCTGCTGCCGCCTCCCGATGTCCTGGCTGCGGGAGGAGGCTCCGCTGGGAAGCGCTGCCCAGAGCCACCCCACGTGGGGAGAAGTGGGAAGGAGGGTCGGGGGGAGCCCCCCGAGATCCAAGTGCCAGGCATCCTCCTCCCGCCGGGACCAGCCGAGCCGGCGGGCTGCCCGCTTTGCTGCTATTCCCGTGGCGGCTGCCTTGGCGGGAGCTGCTGTGGCCAGTGAAACTGTCTGTACCCCCGGGGAGCTGTGCCCGGGCCCGTGGGGCGAGCGGAAGCAGGGCCGGGGCAGCCATGGCCGCGGGGGCTCAGCCTGCCCGCCCTCGCCCCAGCCAGTCGGGAGCACCCAGCTCCCCATGTATGAATGTATATTTTATAAGGACTGACACAGATCATGGTATCTGAAAATACTAAAAAAGGAACCTTAGGGCGTTTATTTTTCTTTGTACAAAGCGACATGGTTTTTTTTTAAAGGAGAAGCGGGTCATTGCAAAGGGCTGGGTATCTTTTCTTTCTGGTTTTCTTTCATTTCAAAGCAATACCAGGTTCTTCAGCAGGACGGTCTGTGCAGAATCATGCCATTCACCCATACACTGGTCCACTCTCAACACTCGCAAGTTTTTTTTTATAACTATAAATACAGTATATATAGGAACTAATATAGTAATGCACCGTGTAATGAAGCCTAGTTCAGTATCGGTCCATGGCTTTTAATTCTCTTAACACTATAGATAAGGATTGTGTTACAGTTGCTCACGGCGCTGGGAAAGCCTTGCTGCACGTTCCCGCTGGCAGCCAGGGCAGGGAGCCGGGAGCGGGTGGCTCGGCCTTTCCCGGCCCTTCTTGTTACAGTCAGTACTTGTACAACTTGGTTTCTTCCTTTCCTTCCTCTCGTTTTGGTTATGAATGTTGGGGTACCACCTGCATATAGGGAAAAATGTGCTCTGTGCTTTCCTGGTATCTTTTTAACGAGGTACAGTAGCTTTGTCTATCAGCCGAGAACTATACTTGTGGTGTTTCTTTTATTGAACTTACAGTCTCTTTAGTAACTACAGGTAGGTGAATAATTGTTTAAAAAAAAAAAAAAAAGCTCTACAAAGGCAAGGTTATGTTCTAGAAATACATTTCTTGACAACTTATCATGTATAACAAAACGTTTTTTTTTCTTGTGTTCTTCCAAGCTTCTGGTTGTTTTTGTTTTTTTTTTTTTAAAAAAAAGAGGAAACGTGTCTAAAGTACATCAGTGTTAACTCCCTGCCACAGGGAAGAAGGAAATACTTTAATAGTTTAAAAAAATGCTGAAAGCTCTGCAAAAGACTGAATGTAAAAATAAAAAGTGTACATAGTTGTAAAAATACAAAAAAACAAAGGAGTTTTTAAACATGTTTATTTTCTATGCACTTTTTTTTATTTAAGTGATAGTTTAATTAATAAACATGTCAAGTTTATTGCTGCAGAGGGCTGCTCTCCATTTCTTTTTGAGGATTGAGAAGCTGCTTCTCCTCCACGAAATTCACTGGGGACAGGAGCCCCTGGCCAGCACCGAGGGCTGCACGGGGTGTTTGGTGAGGAGCCCTCAGCTCCAGTGCACATGGGGGGCACTGGCCGGGTGGTGGGGCCTCACGCCTGGGCTGCAATAGGATGGGGCAGGGTGAGGTGGGGCTGGCAGTGTGAACATTAACCAACCCACAGCCTCCCCCTGGAGCCCCATCACAGGCCTCAGTGGCACAGAGGGCACTATGGCCACGGCGAACGACAGGGCTGTCCTGCAGACCATCTTTAACCCCAGCACCCCTTTTGGGGACATCCCAGGGTTGGATGAGGAGGAGGAGGACATCGAGTTGGAAGGTGAGGTGACACTGCACTGGGTTCTCACTGGAATTGGTGGCGGGGTCCCCATGGAGTGAGCCAGCAGGCAGGGAAGGAGGCTCTGCAGGCTGGGAGCAGTTCCTGCCTGAGGCTGGACCTCACCACCCTGTCCTGTGCCTGTTCCCTCCCTGGACTGGAGGTGTAGGGTGGCACTAAGGCTTGCAGCCCACGGGGTGTCCTGGTGCCACCACTTCCTAGCCAAGGGCTCCTGTTTGCATTGCCACAGTGGAAGCTTTTCCATTGGAGTTGCTGGAGCAGGTCCGGGACCTGGAGCTGCAGGGAGTTTCTGCGGCTGAGTCAGGAGATGTGAGCACGGCCCTGGAGCGGTTCAGCGAGGCCATTCACCTGCTGCCTGAGCGCGCCTCGGGCTACAACAACCGGGCCCAGGCCCTGCGCCTGCGGGGGGACGTGGCAGGTGAGCAGCACAGGAGCGGGTGGTCCCCTGGTATCCCCATACCCCACCAACGCCCCTCTCCCCCTCACCAGGTGCCCTGCAGGACCTGGACACTGCCATCCGCCTGAGCCGTGGGCGCGGCCGGGCCGCCTGCCAGAGCTTCGTGCAGCGTGGCCTCATCCACCGGCTGCAGGCGCGGGACGAAGATGCTCGGCAGGATTTCGAGTGCGCGGCACGCCTGGGCAGCGCCTTTGCCCGGCGGCAGCTGGTGCTGCTGAACCCCTACTCGGCGCTCTGCAACCAGATGCTCTGTGAGATGCTGGGGCGGCTGCGCAACCCCAATGGCACTGGGACCGAGTGAGTAGGCCAGGTAGAGCCATGCTCCCGAGGTGGCCTATAGGCAGGCACGTCCTGGCTGCCGGAGAAGGTCTATCTCTGGTGTCAGAGATTCTGTTCCTCCTCCTGGCTGGTAGCCGGGGACGGGAAGTACCGAAGTGCCTTGCTGTTTGTGTCTTGCTCTGCTCCACTCCCAATAAACGTCCTCCTGTCCCTGGCACTTGGGCTCCGCTTGCGGCGTTGCGGGCGTTGTGCCGCGATTCCCGAGCGCGCACAGCCCCGCTGAGATGGGGGCCCTGGTGGGTGTGAGGCTGGGCCCCTCCGTTGAAGAAGGGAGATGGGGTGCACGGGAGGGTGCATCCCCTATCCCTCCTGGGTGCCGCTCTCGTGTGCAGCGGGCCTGCCCCGGCGGCTGCGCGCAGCGGTCCTGCTCGGGGGCGGCAGTTGCGGCGCCCGGCCAGAGGGAGGGATGGATTGGATTCTCGCAGCTGCGCCGGGCCCGCCCCCGCGCCGCATGCACGGCCCTGCGTGCCGGGGCCCAGGCGCAGAGCCGCACTGCAGACCGGGCTGGACACAGCAGCAGCGATGCCGCAGGTAAGGTGCAGCCGGGCCACAACCTCCGGCCCTGCTGTGTGCTGGAACACGCGGGGACGGCCGCATATCCCTGCTCCAGCTGCCTCTCTCCTAGCGCTGAGCACGGCTGATATGCCATGGGGTGTCCAAAGGGCTGGCCGGGGTCTGCCCTTGTCCCCCTCCTGCTGCTCGGCCTCCCGGCGCTCTCCTCAGCAGGTGAGGCTGTGGTGGGGTCCGTTGCACAGCTCCGGCAGCAGGACCCCCGCTGCAGCTCTGACGTGCCGCGGGCTCTCCGGCAGGGCTGGGGGAACTGGGCCCCACCATCGACGGGCAGCCGTGGACAGTGTGTACGCTGCAGGAGGGGGAGAGCCGTGCCTTCACCTGCCGGGTCCCCCAGCCAGTGCCCGGTGCCACACTGGCCTGGTACCTCAACGGCCAGAGGCAGGAAGCCAACCTCTCAGCTGCAGGCACTGCCAGCACCCTCACCCTCACTGCCCGGCGCTCTGACCACCAACTCAACTGCTCCCTGACCGACCCAGCCTCAGGGGAGACCTACAATGCCTCTGTCCTCCTCAACGTGCAGTGTAAGGTCCACAGCACTGGCCTGCTTCAGACTGGGATATGGGGAGGGTGTGTGGGGCTCCAGCCTGGTAGAGGCTGGACACCATAACCTGTGCCCATCACAGCCATAGCAGAGCAGCAGCTTGTCAGTCCCATGCAGATGAGGCAGAAAGTGCTCCTGGACCCTAGCGAGACAAATCCTACTCTGTGTTGCCCCCATCCCTCCTGCCCATCTCACTGTTTCTGTTTTTTACCCAGATAAGCCAGAGATCCTGAGGGCAGGTGCCCACTACCAGGAGGTCGAGGGTTCTGGCCTCCTCCTGGTGCTCTTTGTGCTGGTGCAAGCCAACCCACCTGCCAGCATCACCTGGGTGGACCAGGATGGGCATGTGATGGCCAATGCCTCCGAGTTCCTCCTCCTGGGTGCCACGCACTACCCAGGGCTGGCCAACCACTCGCTCCACATCCATCTCAGCAGCGTGGCTGGGAACTTCTCCGTCAGTGCTGCCAACAGCGTGGGCATCACCACCACCTCACTCCTACCCACAGGTAGCTGTTGGGGGGGTGGGCACAGCACAGCAGCTGTGTGGAGGGGTGCTGAGGGGGCTGCACTGCCTGTGCAGGTCTGCTGGATGCCCACGTGGAGCTGCCCCTCCTGGGTGTTGCCGTCGGAGCAGCACTGGCCCTGGCCACCCTGCTCAGCCTGGGCTCCTGTGCTGCCTGCCTGGCGTGCCGCTCACCCAAGCCAGTGCCAGGCCCAGGGCGAGCAGAAGGGAGCAGCCCGCCCAGCCAGTGCTCCCGTTGCAGTGGCTCCGAGCACCCACAGCCCCAGGGCACACGCCTGCCCCGCCAGACCCGGTCCCTGCCGCCTGACCTGCACCTCAGTGACCTCGCACAGGAGGATGGAGGTAAAACCCCAATGTACCAGCGCAGCAAGACACATAGGGCCACAGGTGCTGCCTTGGTGAGGGATAGATGTCCTGGCTTTTGCTCCTTTTCTGCCCTGCAGCTTCCCCCAAGGATGTGGGAGCTGGTGCCAGGGGAGAAGATAGTGCCCTGCCAGGGCTGGAGAATCACCTTGTCCTCAACAAGCTCGGTGAGGAGGTACAGGTGGGCAAGTGGCCCCCAAAAGTTGTGCTGTGGGATACTGAGCTCTGTGGTTGCCCCAAAAGGCAATGAGCTGTTTGTCCTACAGGTTTTGTTCAGCTCCCAATGTCTGGGCGCATCTACAAAGTGCCCAGTGTAAGCAGTGATGAGATCTGGCTGTGAGTCCCGGTGCCCATGAGCCAGGTGCCCAGCCCCAGGTACGTACCAGCCTCTGGAGCAGGGCAGCCAAGGGTGCCAGGGAGGCTGTTCTGGGAGGTGGGCGCTGAGCAGCTCTGGCTCTGTGCTACACTGCGTGCTGCAGGGCTCAGGAGCTGCACTGTCAGCCAAAGCATGTTTTTATGTAGCCCATTCACTTTCCCAATAGACTGTTATAATCAAAACGCATCAAGCTCTTTATAGCCAGGCCCTAGTGCTGTGATTCCTCCCAGGGTAAGGCCAAGCACCAGCCTTGCTTTAGCAGGTTTGTGACTCGCTTGCTGCATGATCCTCTCTGCCCCTGCCCCTGCTGCTGTGGCAGATGGGTGGGCAGGCAGTAGGGCAGGGGCTGGGGAGAGTCGTTCCAACAGCAATAAATTAAACTCGAGCGTCTGTGTGGTGCTGCGCAGGTTATTTTCCTTGGCAGGAGATAAAGGGCTTAAGAACAGGAAAAGTGGACTCAGTAATAAGGGGCAGACAGATTCGAGATCCCCAGGTCAGACTAGGAACACCCTGGACAGATCTGAGTGTTGTGTCTGAGTGTGGAATTTATTCCTGTTTGCTCCAACCTTGTAGCGTGTGCTCGAGAAACCTCTGCTCTGCAGCACCTACAGCACAGGGAGCCTGACACTTTGAAAGGCTGGTTTAATGCTGAACTCCTTGGGAACAAGTCAAAAACAGCCATTAGGCGGCTTCTGCAACAAAAACGATGAGTCAAGTCCTACTCTCCAAACACAGAACAGCCTAGCAATGTCTCCAAGACCAAGGAGGCTTTTGATGTGCTGTGTGACATTTCACAGCCTGCTCTGGGCACACCTTAGTGTCCAGCAGCAGACAGTGATCCAGGAGATGAGGGTTTAATGTGAAGCTTCAGGTAAAGCTCACCACCTCTGCCTCTGCCGCTTGTGAGGGTGGGTTGGATGGTGGGCTCCTGCCTTTCTGCCCATCAGCCAGGGGCTTGAAGTGCTGCAGGGAAAAGAATGTGCTCATGCAAATATCCGACTCCTGTTGCTCAGAGTACATGCATCTGAACACACTGGCCACATCAGCTGTGTGTGAGCTGTGTGCTCAGCAGTGCCCCGAGGAAACATGCTCTGGCTCGTGCTGGCCTGTTGAACAATGTAGCGCCCCAGCTTGGCAGCGCAGCCGAGCTCCCTGTGTCAGGCAGAGGCACCAGGGACAGGAGCAGCTGAGAATATGTTCCCAGGGCCCACCAGCCCTTTGCACACACCCACTGCTCCAGAAAGCCAAACAGGACCTGGGCAATGCTGCCAGCTGGGTGAGCAGCACCTGGCTGGAGCTGCCTACCTGCGAGTTCTTGAACTCCGAGAAGAGGGAGAAGAGGACATGCAGAGGCTGGATCCGGCTCTTGTACACGGGGATGTCCAGAATGGCTATGGGCAAGAGCAGTAGCGTGTGAGGGCACCTGGGCTTGCACCCTTGTCAGGAAGAGCTGAGCTCCCCACTGCCCACCATCCCTTGGGCTTCTGTGCACCAAAGACTGCAGTCCCCTGCAGTACAAGAGCCATTTCCCACTGAGGCAGCAGCCTCCAGCTAAAGCCCTCTGGCTTTCAGTGAGAGCGCCAGGCAGCAGCAAATTGTGTCCCCAGCACAGCCTCCCCAGCTCACCGCAGATCATGTCGATGTATTCAGCGAGGTCACAGCTCGTCTCCGCGGTTGGGAGGCCCACCTGGAACAGACGGGGCCATCAGCTCTGCTCCTGGATTGCAGGAGCCCGGGAGCACAAGCAGGCCACTGGGGCAGCAGCTGGGAATTCCAGCATTGGGCTGCGCTCCGACTTCTGGCAAGGGGGAAGTGGTGAGGAGGAACAAATCTGAGCAGGCTGAGCTGTGGGATGGAGCAGGCACCTGGCTTTCACGGCAGATGGTTTCTAAGTCCATGCATTGAGCTAATTACGGATCACTCAGACAACATACCTTTCCCAAGAGCTCCTCAAATTCCGGTGACCATTCCTGCATCAGGGTCTCAATGTCAGGCATTGGCCTGCCAGGGAAGAGAAAAACAAACTTTAGGGTCACACACAACCTTCCACTGCCAGACTGCGGTGAGCTGACGTCAGGGATCACCTGGAGTAATGGACTGTGGCAGGAGGTTTGCAGCGGTGCAGTTCACTGATACTTTCAATCCAGCTGTCAATGGCTTTGGGGTTCTTCTCTGCATTCTCCAAACTCTTCACTTTTATCTGCTGCTAAAAACACAAATATAAACCTGGAAGTGTTTCGTGGTGTTTTGAGGCTTTTTGGGGACCCTGTGTTTGCTCCTGATGAACCAGGGCTTCTCTCTTTCCCAGCTGCACTTTATCAACGGATTTCTGCAGGCAAAATGCCAACTAAAACCAGGTATGGACAACCAAAAAGGAAATAAAGCATCACCCGAAGGGAACAGACTCAAAGTCTGTACCAAAATTTGCATTTTGGTTGCAGTTTAAAGCTATGGATTAAAGCAAAAGGTTCATTTTTGCTACTTTTACAGTCAAGTTCTCAGTTGTACCACAACACTGGAGTCACAGAGACAAAAGTAAGAGTAAAATGCCATGGTTTCACTCCAAGCAGTGTGCAGCAAGTGCAACCTCCCTCTCCCTGACTCACTGTGATGTTGTGCTGCTTGGAGTTCTCTGTCAGCCAAAGAGAGAGCACGGTGGGATCTGACTGCTTGGTCGAGGGCTCATCCAGGACCAGCAGGCCAAGGTTGTCAGGCTTCCAGTCAGGACGGGGAACCTGCAGGAGAACAGAGCCCTCTCTGCGGAGTCCAGGGCAGGTTTGTACAGAGCCTTTCCATGAGCTCCCTCGGATGTGTGTACTCAGTACAGTGCTGCCCGAACAGCACGTGGTGTTGGAGAAGGGAAAACCCAGCCCTTACTCCAAGTCACCTAAGTGCTGTGTGAGAGGTGACCGAGCCACCGGGTCTACCTTTCCAGGTCTCTGCCCATTATGTCCCAGAGCGAGAGCACAGCAACAGACCGGCCCCTGCCATGGCCACTGCCCCGTGGGGCAGGGCCGGGACAGGAACCTGAAGAAACTGTACCTTTAGGAATGCATCAATATCCCCAACAGCAGGAATAAAGTCTGGAATAAAAGGCTGCAGCTTGTGCTCAATCTCTACTGTTTTGGGAGTGTACCTGCAAAAAACCACCACCACAGCATCTGTGACCAGGAACTGTGCTGCAGTAATTGACACAAAAGAGAGCCAAGAGCAGGCCAAAACCCTTCCACTCACCTCTTGATGTATTCAAACAGGTCTTTGATTTCAGAAGACACTTGCAGGTAGTCAAAATCTGCTGGATTGAAGTCACTAAAGAAAGGAAGAGAGTCATGGGCAAAGATTAATGTGTGGCAGGTTCTACTGGGCCCTGTTTTGCCTTGGACCTGCTGGCCAAGAAAAGTACTTGAGTGAGGGATAGTTGTGATCATATAGCTCCACAAAGAGTTGTCAGAAAGGGGCTAAGTGCTCTGCACAAAGGAAGACGTTGGGACAGCAATGACGTGGTCAGCAATGGCTTTGGAGCTGAAAACGTTGGAAAAAGAGAAGGATTATCAGGAGCTGAGTGACGTGTTTGAGATGGTCCTTCCCAAGGCTGGCTGACACTTTGGGTTGTTCCAGCCCTGCCTCTCCTGGGCACCGCACCTGGGGCTGGTTCATCACCTGGAGGAACCATCGCCCTGGAGCACTGGGGACGAGCTGCCTGTCTCGATGCCCATGATCCTGCTCACCCTCGCGGGATTAGGGATCAGGGGATCAGCAGAGAGTCCCGTACGGCCCCCACCAGCCCCGGCCCCAGCTCGTCCAGCCGGTAATGCCGCTCACCCCTCCAGCGCAGCCCCCTGCTCCTCCGAGTCATCCTCCGAGTCGCTCTCCGACGAATCCTCCTCCGAGTCCTCATCGTCCTCGTCGTCGTCCTCGCTGAGGGCGGCGGGGTGGGCCACTGCCTCCTCCTGGGCGAGAGAACCACGTTCTCACCGGGTGTCCCCGGGTGTCGCCGGGCCGTCCCCCCGCCCGCCCCGCTCGTACCTTCCCGCTGCCGCCCCGCTCGCCGCTCCTGCGCTCGGCGGCGCCGCCGGACACCGTGGGCCGGCGGGAGCCCCGCGGGCGGCCCGCGCCCCCCGCCCGTGGCGAGCGGGCCCCGGGCTCGGCCTCGGGCAGCTCCAGGCTCTCGTCGTACAGCTGGTTCTCCACCGGGCGGGGCTACGCCGAGAGGCAAAGTCAGGGGCAGGGCGGCCCAGGGCCCAGGGCCCACATCCCCCGCCCCCCGTGTCCCCCCGTGTCCCACCTCCGCCCTCCCCGTGTCCCTCCGCGCCGCTGCCGTCGCCATGGCAACCCTACCCCTCCGGCTGGCCAGAGCGGCCCTGGGGCGCGCGCGCCCCCTGGCGGCGGGGAGGAGCCACCGCCCCGCCCCCCCGTGACGACATTTCCGGGTGCGGACGTGGCGCGGCGCCGCCATCTTGCGGGGCCGCCCGGGGACCGGACGGACCGAGCGCCGCTCCCGCCGCCGCCGCCGCCGCCGCCGCCGCCATGGTAAGAGAAGGGCCGGGCCCGCCCGCCGCGGGCGGTGCGGAGCTCGCGGCAGTCTCTGGGGCAGCCCCCGGGCCCGCCGGGCCCGCGCGCAGGCCGACGCTTGAGTCCGCGGCCTGGCGGGACGGAGCGCGGCGCTGCCGCCCGGTGCCGGCGGGGCCGCGGCAGCTCGCCCCTGCTGTCTCGGAGCCGCGGTGCCTCCTGAGCCGGCTGCTTCACGTTCGGGGTCTCAGGTGTAGCCGGGCGGGCGGTGCCCGCCTGCCCTGCGCTGTGGCCCTGAGAGCTCTGTCTCTCGCGGGGCTGTTCCGGCTCCTTTTCCCCGTGGCAGCGGTGTGGGGATCAGCACAGACCCCCCGCGCACGGCTCCGCCTGCGGCAGGGACCAGTGATGCCGTGTTGGAGGGTTTCTGTCTGTTTGGGGATTTAAAAGTGCAGAACAGCGTTATTCTGACAAAGGTAATTAAGAAACTGATCCGTGAGAGGGAAATGTCGGGAGGAAGTCTGGGCAGATAGAGAGAAGAAGGAAGACAAAGTGCAGCTGGCGAGTGATAGCGCTTGCGAGCTGCCCGGGAGGCACCTGAGGCCTGTGGTGATAACCAGGGCTGCATCAACCTGGCTGTGCTGTGCGTGTGGCACTGGGAGAGATGTCACATTTTACAGCGTTCCTGTGTGTAGTAAGCTGGGGCAGCCTGATGGAAAAGTCCATCTCCTGGAGCCTCCCCTGACGCTCCTGCGGGTTGTTACACCTGTGTATGTGTGGAATAAGGAACGGGTTCATTTGCGTAACAGAAGCAGGGAGAGCTCTGAGGTTAATGTAGGGACAGAACATGGAATGGGGAGAGAGAGAGAAAAACAGAGGTGTCTCTGCTCTTGGCATAATTCAGTTCCCGGTCACAGAAAAAGACATAAAATCATATTCTGAGTGCATGCAGGTAAGGTGTGGTGGGAAGTGATCCTTTTTGTGGGCCAGGCTCACCCGCTCTGCTCGCCCAGGTGCTGTTGGCAGCCGCCGTATGCACGAAGGCGGGGAAGGCCATCGTGTCCCGGCAGTTCGTGGAGATGACCCGCACCCGCATCGAGGGGCTGCTGGCGGCGTTCCCAAAGCTGATGAACACGGGCAAGCAGCACACGTTCGTGGAGACGGAGAGCGTGCGGTATGTCTACCAGCCCATGGAGAAGCTCTACATGGTGCTGATCACGACCAAGAACAGCAACATCCTGGAAGACCTGGAAACACTCCGGCTGTTCTCTAGAGTGGTAAGGATCTGTCACTCGGTGATGTGGCTGTAGCCTGGAACGGCGCCGTTGTGGGGCACCTGTTTCTGAGCTGGTGCTGGAGCACTGCCTGCCTCTACCTGGCAGTGTGATGTTCCAGAGCTTCCCTTCCTGACTAGGAAGAAAGCTCTGAAGTTTTGTTGGTAGTTTTGAACTTACCATAAGAAATCCTCAGTTGTAGTTCAGTTGATGAGACCAAAGTGCTGATCGTAATTTAGCATAAATTAGCCTAAGGCTCATATTACTTCAAAAAGTAACATGATTTTACGAGTGCAGGTTGCTTTGCAGGGATCCTGAAGAAGCAAATTCATGTCTTCATACAATCAAACTATTTTCAGGAAATCTGCTGACCCTAGCATGCAGTTGGGCTCCTCTGAGTTAGTGTTACAAGGAAGCTGAGAGGTTCTATAAGGATTTTAGTGTGGAAAAACTAATAATGGCAAAGCTTCATCTTGTTTATCAACAGCTTAATGGTACCTGCAGCAGCGGAAGAGTGCACTGGGGTTGGGAGGGTCAGCACAGCTGTGACCTCTGGGATGGTAGAAGGAAAGTGTTTACACAGTACTCTCTGTGGGTACTCCTTTAAAATGTGTTCTCCTACTAGATCCCTGAATACTGTCGAGCTCTGGAGGAGAATGAGATCTCTGAACACTGCTTTGACCTGATCTTTGCATTTGATGAAATCGTCGCCCTGGGCTACCGCGAGAACGTAAACCTGGCACAAATTCGGACCTTCACTGAGATGGACTCGCATGAGGAAAAGGTGTTCCGGGCAGTCCGAGAGGTGAGCACGGACACCTGCGAGCTTGGCACAAGGTGCCATGTCTGGGAAATGCTGCCTTTGCTATACAGAGGTGTTCCTCCACTTTGGTAGGGCCATGCAGTTATTTAGCTTTTCTATAAGCTTGTATTCTGTATCTGTCTAAACCTGTATCTTGTTTTGTTTTTGTTGGCAAGGGGTTTGTGGGCAACTGCATTTAGTTCCTGTGCAGGCTGAAGTTGAGGTTGCAAAGCTCCATCAGTCTCCCGTCTCTTCTTTCAGACGCAGGAACGCGAAGCAAAAGCTGAGATGCGTCGTAAAGCAAAGGAGCTGCAGCAGGCCAGGAGGGACGCGGAGAGACACGGCAAGAAGGCACCCGGGTTTGGGGGCTTCGGCAGCTCAGCCGTGTCTGGGGGCACGACGGCAGCAATGATCACAGAGACCATCATTGAGACCGAGAAGCCCAAAGTGGCACCAGCACCAGCCAGGTAGGGGGACAGCAGGTGGCAAATGTTCTCTGGAGCCAGCGGTGGCTCAAACTATGTGCCCAAAGAGAAGTTCTAACATAGGTTCCTCATCTGTGTAACTATGGAGGAGCATTTGTGCCATATACCACAGTAACACCCTTTGTAGTCTCCCTGGAATCTTGGATGAGCAATGAGCTTCCCATTTTGTGTGAGAAAAAGAGGTCCCAACTCCTGGTAATACACAGAACAGAATCCAGATCTAAATTATAGCTTAGCACCTGACACGTAAGACAATAGTGCTGTGCGTGTTGTCTCCAATAAAGGGTGCCAAAGTGAATGGTGTGGTGTTGGGATAGTCAAGTTATAGTACTTAAAGATAACCAGGAAGGAGGAATCTGTTGCAGTGAGCTGACTTGACCTCTGTTTAGACCTTCAGGTCCCAGTAAAGCCTTGAAGCTCGGAGCTAAGGGGAAGGAGGTGGACAACTTTGTGGACAAGCTGAAATCAGAAGGAGAAAATATCATGACTTCCGTAGGCAAGCGCTCTGTGGAAGCAGCCAAAGTTCTCGCTCCTCCTGTTAACATGGAGAGGTGAGTGCTGCCCTTGCTTTGGAAGTGGTCTCCCTTCCTGTTCCTTTTAGGCTTTTTCCTGTGCTCCCTTACCTTGTAACTATAACAGTTGGTGGGCAAAATCTGGGAAAGTATGGCAGCAAGAAAGTAAATAGCTAGTTTGGTTAGGCATCTTCCTAACTAAAATGGGGTGTCCATCCATTGCTGAGCTGAGGTTGGGAATTTTCTGTGCCTTTTGCCTTCAAATAGCTGCTGTTTTCCCTGTTTCCCTACCTCATTGCCACTCAGGATGGAGCCATTCACGCTTCATTTTACATGCAGCAGTTCAGAACCTTTTAGTGCCTGGAGTGCTGTGGCCTGACAGAGGGGATTTGAGTGACCACCATGTTGAGATGCTGCATCAGTGCTGTTTAACTGGGGTCCCATCCCTTGCAGACCCGTATCCATGGATTCTCCTGCCCCCGAGTTCACCTGTCGGAGCAGCATTAGCCCCCATGGTGCTGGCCATGCTGTTCTGTTCAGGAGCTCTTGCTCAGTACGCACAGCCTGTCCTTCCTGAGCACTGATCTCTTTGCTGCCTGGGACATGAGTGTAGCACTTGAGCTTTTTCTCTATCTGTCTAGTGTGCACATGAAAATAGAGGAGAAAATCTCCTTGACTTGCGGCCGCGATGGAGGGTTGCAGAACATGGAGCTGCATGGCATGATCATGCTGCACATCTCCGATGAAAAGTTTGCACGGATTCGCCTGCATGTAGAAAACGAAGACAAGAGGGGAGTGCAGCTGCAGGTAAAGCCTATCTGGAGTCCTATGCTGTTGAACGTGCTTTTGTTGTTTTCCAGGGAAAAAAAAATTGGAAATATTTGAGCATGTTACTGTCCTGTATTCTCATCCAAACTTTCTCAGCAAATGCATTGGAAATGGGAGTACTCAGTGCAGGGCCAGTCATGCTCAAAGGATTGAAGTTCCCTAGAGAAATGTGGTCTCGGTGCTCGCCATCCTGCCGTTGGAGCCTTATCTGCCCAGCAGTGCACATTGGCATGCTGGGTGACCTCACTTGGACTTTGCAGCAGCCTAGTGTGTTGCTTGGTGCCTGTTTGTGTGATGTCAGTTGCAGCTGTGGACTGGGAGTAGGTGAACAAACTTCTGTGCCAATGGGGAATGAATTTATTCTCTCTGGAGCCATTTCTTCCTGGGGTCGCTTGTCCTGTCACTGCTGTACCTGGGA